AGGACCTGTTCTCAAACTGTGTGTAGGGAAAGGGCTGCTGGGAGCTGTGGTTCTGGGGTGTGTGTCTATGTCAGTAGGGAATAATCTCCGCACATGCTGCCCCTGCAAGAACTTTACAAGCCTGGTGATGACATAACAGGACGTAATGAAAGCTGTGTCTGTCAGCAGGGACAAGGTAAAAAATAATGCTGCAACATGCTCTAGAGGGGGAGCAAGTCTATACAAAGCCTATCCTTGGCATTAGTCCTGTATTGTGAAATGTAGTATTTGTGAAGTACATCAGAGAGCCCTCACAGTCCTGCCAGAACTTTATTTGAATATCCTAATGCACTTGACACACCTGCCTGATGATGCCCTTTGTATAAGCTCTGCCCCTTGTATAATTCGATTATTTAAGAAAAAAAACTGCTAATATGTAATATTAAGATGCTCAAACACTGTCGGTTTTTTATTGTTCACCCCATTTGATGAACAAGAAAAAAACTCTTGAATCTCCCTTGCTGTTCTATTGTATTCTGACTGTGATGGGTGTGCTGCTATCAGAATACACGAACAGCGACTGCTGATTGGCTCTAGAGGCAGTATGCTGTCTGCTTTTGTTTTTTTCCCAGCTACTTTATCAAAAACACTGTTCCTGTGTGTGGTTTGAACATTTGTAACTGAACTGTACTGTCACAGACGGGAGTCTTTGTCCATGGGAGAGACAGCCCAGGAGCTACAGGAGCGTACCTGAGGGTGAATGGAGACACTAGTGTCATGGAGGCACTCGAGTCACAAGATAACACAGGATGTTCTAGTGTCACTGGGTGACACAAGATGCTGTAGGGAGTTAATGAAGCCACAGGGTACTGTGAGATTGCTGGAAGTCACAGGATGCTCTGAGACCACAGGTGAGGCAGGGTACTCTGGGGACACAGGATTGCATGGGGGTCACAGAACCACTAGAGGCACAGGGCTGCTGGGATCACTAGAGACACTGGAGGTTTTTTGGAGGCAGAGGAATGCTCAGGGGTCACTGGAGGCAGCGGAGTGCACAAGGGTCACTGTAGGCACAAGAGTGTACAGGGGTCACTGGAGGCATAGGGGCTACTGGAGGCACATGAATGCTCAGGGGTCACTGGAGGCAGAGGAGTGCACAAAGGTCACTGGAGGCACAGGAATGCACAGGTGTCACTAGAGGCACAGGTATCACTGGAGGCACAGGAATGCACAGGGGTCATTGGAGGCAGAGGAGTGCACAAAGGTCACTGGAGGCACAGGAATGCACAGGGGTCACTAGAGGCACAGGTGTGCACAAGTATCACTGGAGGCACAGGAATACACAGGGGTCACACTAGAGGCTCTGGTGTGCACAAGTATCACTGGAGGCACAGGAATGCACTGGGGTCACTAGAGGCACAGGTGTGCACAAGCATCACTGGACGCACAGGAATGCACAAGGGTCACAGCTGCTGCAAGCATAGGGAACACAGAAGGCAGACACTAGAGGCATGGAGGGTTGGCTTAGGCAAAGTGATGCCTTGCTTGAGAATTAAGCAATGTGTCACTTCACCATTAGAAGCTGGCAAAAATCAGAGCTGTCTCCCAATGGGCCATGGCGCTGGTGCTCCAGGTGAAACCAGGACGTGCCAGCGGCCATGCACTGAAGAGGAGATCTGGGGCTGGATTGCGGAACAGGTCAGTGTAACATCATTTTATTTCCAGAAAATATTTTTACTTTTATACTAGGACAGTTTTACCAGTCTGTGGACTTTGAACAGGATACAAGGCTATATTTACCATAATGGCACTTGTATGCCAGGGCTTGAGGCAACAAGATAAGGGGGGCATCACTGAGCCTCAACATATACAATTTTTTATTTCTTTCAATGAAACAGATACCCAGCCAAACGAATACTAAGAGTACACACTATATACAGAAATGGTGTTTTTGATTTTTTTTACTGCAAGAGGTTTTTACATGAATATATAAACCTCAAGAGTCTGGATTGGCCCCTGCAGTAATTCCTTTACACCAAATAGATGCCAATTGAATGACAGCCAGCATCTTTCACTCACTTCCTTAGAGCCCAGGCCATCATGGACCCGCCTCTATCATGCAGCCTGGGCTCAGTACTACTAGACTGCTGATCAGCACTCACATACCAATACCTGTGCGGAAGAAAGGACCACCCGGTGCAACCCAGCTGTGTTAAAACCACAAATCCCATCATGCCTTGGCCTCTGGACCACTCTTCCTGTGGCTGTCAGAGTCTTGCAATGCATCACGGGAGTTGTAGTTCTACAACAACCTGAGTACAGAAGTTGTCTACTCATTGTAAACAAACATATACAGTAGTTGTACTGTATCAAGGCTCGCCTGCCTGTGTTCCTCCGACCAGCGGGGGGCGCTGCGGGGCAGTGTACAGCCGCTCTGTGTGCGCTTCTCCTCGCTGACAGGTGTAGTAAGTGCCCGGCGAATCCAGAACTTTCGCGGCGGACAGAGGCAGCAGTGTGAACAGCGGGGCAGTGCAGGGGGTGCACGGTGAGTGCGTTGTTCATTCTCCCTGCTCAGGGATATGACGGCTCATTAGCAGTGTGCAGTACACGGACTCTCCTGGGAAACTCGGGACACAGCACTCTTGTTGTGTGTATGGAGTGAAGGGCTGGGGGGTTTGGAAGCTGGAAGAGGGTCTACCGTACTAATATGTATACGGGGCTCCAGAGCTGTCAGTGGGGGCCCTGTGTGTACAGCAGGTCAGTCATTGTGTAAACACTGGGTTTGGGATCGCTGAGTAGATCAGAGGCTGAGGTTTTCATTGTCTGTGACCCCTGGGGGAGATGTCGCCCCTGTCCCTTCATACCTGGATAGGATATGGTGTCATCAGGACAGGAAGTTCTAGAGAACTAAACAAATCTGAGAGATGTATTACCCCATCCCCACTCCACTTCATAAATGCACTTCCAGTGCTGTCCTTGTCCAGTGTAGGCCTCATTCACACTGCCATTGACAGACGTGTTTATAGGGCATTTCTAAATGCATTGAATGATTTTTGGACCTCATACACTCAGGGCTTTTATGTCCGGCTATGGATTCTTGCAGCTCGAACCGTAGGTGGTTGTGGACAGTTGTGGCCGCTCGGCCTGTACAAAGCAATGACAGGAGCTGCGGCTCCCTGCCTGTGTACGAGTGTAATCACCATTACCTGCGGTCAGAGACCCTGGACACAAGCAGATTGTGTGATTACATTCGAACATACGTGGACAGCCACGGCTGCTGTCAGCCTGTCATTACCTTGTACAGACTGAGCAGCCACAGCTGCCTGGAACCACCTATGATTCCTGCCACAAGAATCTGTTCCTGAACATAAAAGCCCCGTGTGTACGAGGTCCTAATAGTATAATTCAAACAGAGTGTTTGTTTGTTTACCTGCATTCAGAGGTGTTCAGTTTGGCTGCATTTAGAGAAACTAGAAATCTTTGTGTCCAAGGTCTGATTAGAAACTCTAAACATGACTAAATGGATTTACATACACATAAACATGGCTAAAGAGGTAGGTACATCTAAGGTCTCGTTCACACCTAGGCGTATTGCATATGCGCGTCTGTCGCACGTTTTTTTTACCGCGATTCGCGTAAAAAAAGTTGCGCGGCAAACGCGCGTTTCTGAAGGCTACTTGGCTGTATCCCAATGGAAACGCGCAACAAAACGGCCCAAAGTAGTACCTGTACCTTTTCAGGCGTGGGCCGTTTTGTAGCGCGTTAGGGACGGGCGGAAATACGCCAAGGTGGGAACGAGACCATTGACTACAATGGGATTTATATTTTTGAGCGTTTTGTAGAGCGTTCGTCAAGCGTAGAACACGCTACAAAACTTTCAGGTGTGAACGAGGGCTAACTGTAGGAGAACTTAGGACATGTAAAGTTTATATATGCCAGATAATTTGTCCTGCGTTTAGATAACACGGGAGTGCTGGTGTGAATGTAACCATAAAGAACTATCCCATCACTTCCTGTCTTGTTACGTCTTGTCAGTGCGAGAGGAAGTGAGGGGAAAGATATGTGAGCACCTGCGTTAGGGAAGGGGAGTCGCCGATGCCGACTACCAATATTCATATGTCCAGACTCGACGATACCGAGTACCAATACCGGTACTTCCGCTAGGCTGAAGCTGGCTTCCCTGGCAACCAGGAAGCCAGGCGGTGTGTCATTACCCGCCGCCTGGCTTTTTGATTGCCTGAGAAGCTGGCTCCATGCTGTTTGGCCAGCTTGATGCTGATTGGCCGGGAAGCTGGCTTTCCGGCCAATCAGGAAGCCGGGAGGCAGGTCTTTACCAACCGCCCAGCTTCCTGATTGGCTGGGAAGCCGTCTCCATGCCGTTTGGCTGGCTTCCCAGCCAAGCAGCATCGAACGAGCCAACAGAGCATGGAGTCGGCTTGACAGCCAGTTAGGAAGCTGGGCGGCGAGTCATTACCCACCGCCTGGCTTCCTGATTGGCTGGGAAGCCAGCTCCATGTTCCCTCGCAGCACTTCGGTCAGAGGAAATCTCCTTCTGACCGGGAGTTCCGGTTTTCAGGTGTAAGTATTGGAGAATTTGGGCGAATGCAAGTACTTGCCCAAACACTCTGTATCGGCACCGATACCAATACTAGTATCAGTATGGTTGCATCCATACTGTTAAGGTTGGATGGATTGACAGGGAGACCTTGTGTGTGATTTTTTTTTTTATTAAGTAAAATTGTCCTTTCACAAAAATATCTCAAAATGAATACACAGGAGAATTTATCAAAACTAGAGCAGGCAGAATTTGGAGCAGTTGCCCATAGTAACCAATCGGCTTCTATCTTTTCAAAGCTTAACTGAACAAACTTAAAAGAGAATCTGATTGGTTGCTGTAGGCAACTGCTCCAGATTTTGTCTGCTCCAGTTTTAATAACGTCCCCTCATAGTATATTCTTTATAGGCATATTGAACTTTTTGAGAGAACTTGTCAATAACACCTTGTTTTTGTTTTGTTTACAGCTTGTGACTCAAGTACTTGCATTGAACTTTCATATTCCAATCCGCAGGCACAATGACAGAGACTGTGGAATCTCCTTCTACACAGTGAGTGTGTTTGCTACACATTATTCATCAATAACAGTTTTGGTGACTTGGCCCTGACTGTGAGTAACAGTGTTACTCCCGAGAACCCTGATGCCCACCTACGGCCCTTTGTACTTGTTATGTGGCTCTTGGATCCTACAGTCTGTATTGTAGATATCATGCTCCTGCAAAGTGATGTCAATCTAAGGTACCCAAAAATAGAAAAAAGCCAGGGGTCCGCAAGAGGAGAGGGGGCTTTGCAAAATCCCGGGGAGAACATTTAGTGAGCATGGTCGGCTGGAGGTGTGTATATGGGTGGCCGTACACAGCCATATCTCTCGGTAACAATGATTCTGGGATATGAATGCGTTTACTCTGAGAGCTGTACCATTGAGACCTGACAACTTTTTTTTTCTCCCTGCTTGACCAGAGGTGCTATGCTGCAACTCAAAATTAAAGTGACTGTTCCTTTTGTGGTAAAGAAGCTGAAAGGATTCTTTAAGCAGCACTTCTGACATTCACACATACTCAATATTGCTGTGCTATGGACTTTGAAGGATTTATTTCAACACTTAGTTTTTTCTGAGTATTTATCATTACATATATGGATTTCAACAGTAATATACATTCAAATGATGCAATCAGATTATATTTATAGGCCCTGGCCTAAAAATCTAAACTGCTAAGATTTTCAGAAGTCAAAAGACAGTGGGGGAAATGTATCAAAACTGGAGCAGACAAAATCTGGAGCAGCTGTGCATGGCAACCAATCAGATTCTCTCTTTCATTTTCAAATCTTAACTTAACAAATTGAAATGAGACGTGGATTGGTTGCCATGGGCAACTGCTCCAGATTGTGTCTGATTCAATTTTGATACATTTCCCCCACTGTCTTTTGACTTCTGAAAATCTTAGCAGTTTAGATTTTTAGGCCAGGGCCTATAAATATAATCTGATTGCATCATTTGAATGTATATTACTGTTGAAATCCATATCTGTAATTTATTTTGGCCCATGAAGGGCTCACTCTGCTCAGTCAGTCCTCAGATTTTCACTCCCCACTTTTGTTCTGAATTGCTCTGTCAGATGGTACCCCTATTTCAGAATTACCACTTGTCTACCTATTGGTTGCTGAATTAAGAATGAACTCTGGTTAAAAAAAAACAAACATTTTAAATATATTCCTCAATAGCCAGAAAGGAAAGAAGTCTACGTTGTGAGCACCAAATACTTTTACAAGCCAAAATATTGCCTTGTAAAAGTAGCAATGACTTCATCCCTGTGCTATACATAACCTGCGCAGAGCAGCGCTATGGGAGGGACCCAGCCGGTGCACCCACTGCAGGATGGGGGCGGAGACGTGACCAGTCACCCTGCACAATGAGAGAGAGCAGCAGTGACTGGTCTTTATTACAGGAAGCTCCTGCGCAAAGGATTACTGCACAGATCTGGAAGAAACACACAAAGCTCACCCAGATTTAAGTAAGAATACACAGGGTATTTAGATAGTACAGTATTTGCTTTTCTCGCTGTTCAGCTTTAACGGCTTGATTTTTCTCATTCATAGTCCTTAAAACCGGCAGGTAAGAGAGCACGTTGAAAAGCTGATATGGGAAGTAATGGTGTCACCTGCCTTGTGTATATCCTAGGCAATGCTGAACAGAGTTAGGAATCCATTGGCAGGGTAAAATAGTTCCCATCTATATATTTCAAACTTTTTTTTTAGCTGTTTTCTCCGAGTAGTTCATTATAATCCTCAGTAATCAGTAAGAGCTCTATTATAAAGTGATTGTATGTTGTTGATTACTGTACATTTGTGTACACGGGGCCCCGTAATTAAACCAGGTCATTTTAATGTACATTCCTGTGTGGTTGGTGTTAATTTCTCAGTATTGTGTGTGTATATGGTATCCCTTCTTACAGATACTTTCCATAGAAAACACACCAAGTCTCACATATTTTTCTCTGGAGTGATAGGCACTTGTGCCCGGGATTTCACATGTGTGTAATACTATTTTTAATGTGTGTTTTCTTTCACTTGTTTGTTCACTCTCTAAATTCTGTTCTTTTAGATTATTTTCTGATAGTTACATCAGTGAAAATCCTCAGAGATCATTAGAGGTAAGCTCGTTTCCTGGTAAATGACTGAAGATACGGTACTTTGTTTGCACTGTCAGGGTCCATTCTTCTCTTACTCATTGGTTGTGTTGTGTTCATTGAGGGGAATTTATCAAAACTGGAGCAGTTGCCCGTGGCAACCAATCAGCATCCACCTTTTATTTTCAATCCTTAACTGAACAATCTGAAGAGAGAAGCTGATTGGTTACCATGAGCAACTGCTCCAGATTCTTCTGCTCCAATTTTGTTAAATTCTTCCCATGTGTTTTAGACACTTTTTTGTTTGTGTTACGTACAGTACCATTCTTCATTGTGCTAGATGCTTTTGTTGGAAATGCAGCTACCAGGATTTGTTTTCGGGAAACACAAACGCTATATGTGAATGGAGGCTAACAGTTCTTAACCAAAGTCTTCTAGGGAAAATACAGGGCAGTCCACTTGGGTTTTAAAGCTTTATTTCCGCAGCATACAGTGAACGGGTAGATCAGCATTCATGAAATACAGTCCGTTCTTTGCATCAAATCACAAAACTTTATAATATTAGTCAGTATTTCCTGTACTCCAATGTGCTTCTCCCAAAAGAATGTCCTTTTCAGTAGCAGACGCAGCAACTCTTCAAGTCTTCAATCTCTACCAACTCTCCTAGCTGGGTAACAGTCTGAAAAACATAAGGCCAGGCTTCCTTTTAAACACTCACAGCCGCAGTCATGGACTACACCAGTGATTAACAAGCTGCACCCACAGACCCTGGACTAGGCAGCTTACCTAGCTGATGGGGTAATGGCCCACCCTTCTCTCCATTATACCAACCCCAGGGACCCAGAACACATTTTATAAATTACACAACTAAACCACACACTGGTTTTTTTTTTTTGAAGTGAACGGAGGGATGCAAAAAAGGCCTGGTCTTGCATACCTCCCATTTAAAACCAGGCCTTGCTGTCTGTCACAATACATGCTTCTAATCCGGTGACAGCCAAGGATTTCCCTTACTTTGGAGAGATTTCGTCTTACTTCCTGTTGTGGCCATTGAAAAGGCAGTGAAGAGAAATCTACCCAATGGGACCCAAATGGCAAAAAGAAACTCACAGGGGTTATGACTCTTCCTTACTCTAAAACAGTGGTTCTCAACCTGTGGGTCGGCACCCCCTCGGGGGTCGAATGATGATTTGCCAGGGGTCGCCTAGTGGCTCTCGGCCGCCGGGAGAGGAACACTTTCTCCCGGAAAGGTTGGGACCTTTCTCTGCTCTGTTTTTTGTTTTTTTTAAATCGGGGGCCGCCGTAAGTCAGAAAAAAAAAAACCCACCGTAGGAATGCATAGCTAGATTCCTATTGGCTATTTCACTTTGCAAAAGCCAATAGCAAACTAGCTAGTGCAATATGTATGTATTCAAGCAAAAAAAGATGTAAAACACACCTCTAGCTATGCATTCCATTTTCCCGGTCCACAGCTGCAGAGATCGGGAAATGTCTCAGTGCCTGTGATTGGCACTGCGCGCTGTCAGCTTCCTGGCGGGCTCGGAACGTGGAGCTGCGAACACGCCCGAGCCAATCCCTATCAGTGACAGTACTGCGGAGTATGTACCTCATATGTTATATAGCCACACACTTTAAATCCAATTCTTCTAGTTCCAGCTGCAGAGCCCGGTCCTGTCTTTGCATATAGCAGTGGGTCGCTGTGCAAGGTGAGAGTCCTCCTCAGCTCTCTCCTAGCGCAGCAGTGTCAGTTCTCCCGCCACGCCTCCAGATGTCACTGCAGCAGCCGCGTCATCCCTAAATTTTACTGTTTACTTGCAAGCCCCCCCATGTGATAGCAGTCAAAGTAAAGTAAAAAAAAAACAAAAAACAGTTTTTAAAATTAAAATGAAATAAAATAAATCTAATAATAATAAAAAAAAAATGTAAAAGTACCCCGCCCCCGCGAGCACGCGCGTCGCCACGTAAACACGCGTCGGGTGCGCCTACGCATGAAAACGACGAACGCGCTACACATGTTGGGTATCGCCGCGCACGCCGGAGTGAGAGCAATAATTCTAGGGCCAGTATTTTGGGGTATCTCTAAATTGATGACCTGTGGGGGCTTTTAAAGTGTCTTTTATTGACTTTTTGGGGTACTGCAGTTTTTCGCCGTTTCACGGTCGCACGCAATCTGTAAACTGGGCATGTTGGGTATCGTTTTACTCGTTGTAACCTCATCTTTTATATTTCATTAAAAAAATGGGTAATTTGTTGTGTTTTGGGGCATTTAATTAAATTTGTCACTAAATTTTGGGGTTTAATAAGGAGTTGCGCTAATATTGCGCAACATAAAAATTTTCAACTACCACCATTTTATTCTATAGGGTCTTGGCATTCAGAAAATATATAATGTTGGGGGGTTTTACGTCATTTTCAGGCCTAAAATGTGGAATATAACATGGGTGCAAAAAATGAAAAAAGGGCCTCAGTCATGAAGGGGTTAAAATGTATGTATAACAAAAAAGGATTTTTTTGTAGAGTAGAGAGATAAGAACTTCTGTCAAGTTATTATTCCTGTCTGTGTCCCCGTTAGTTAGGTTCATCCTCTCTATCTGTCCTAGTGACAAGAATATTAGAGTTGTCACCAGGGATGCACCCATATCATATTTTCAAGGCCGAAAATGAGTATGGATACTTTTCCTCATGATTCCTAATGATTTTAGGACAGTGGTGAAGTGCCAGGGCCTGGTCCCAGCTGCAAACGCTGCATCCCTGTAGTTCTGCCACTGACTCCAAGCTTTAGAGGGACTACAAATCTCAGCAATACAAGGTACAGCAATGCAAAATACCACCAGCTAGAGAGAACTATAGATTTCAACAATACATTATACAGCAGTGCAGAATAATACCACCAGCTGGAGAGGACTACAAATCACAGCAATGCAGAATACCACCGGCTAAAAGGACTGCAAATCTCAGCATTACATTATACAACAAGGCAGAATACAACCAGCTAGAGAGGACTACAAATCCCAGCAATACATTATACAGCAATGCAAAATATTACCAGCTAGAGAGGACTACAAATCCCAGCAATACATTATACAGCAATGCAGAATACCACCAACTATAGAGGACTACAAATCCCAGCAATACATTACACAGCAATGCAAAATATTGCCAGCTAGAGGGGACTACAAATCCCAGCAATACATTATGCAGCAGTGCAGAATACCACCAGCTAGAGAGGACTACAAATCACAGCAGTGCAGAATACCACCAGCTAGAGAGGACTACAAATCCCAGCAATACATTAGATAGCAATGCAGAACAGTATTAAGTTACATACTCTGTGTTGCTTACCAGGTCTGCACGTGGCGTCTGATCAGGGCTGCATGCGTGGCAGGGTCTCGGCAAGGCTGAGTGGGTGGCGGGATGAAGGAGCAGGGTAGATGTGCGGCCGGACCAGCACTATAAACAGCCGCTGCGAGGTCCCCGGCAAGCACAGGACCTTGCAGTAGCCCAAAGCTAATCAAAAATTTAAAGTACTTGTACTCGAGTATACAAAACACAAAAATTCCCCAGCCTCAACCTGCCAGCCAGCCTGCAACCAAACAAGTAGAGTACTCGAGTACTCGTGAAAATGGCCAGTATCAGTACCGATACTCATATCGATATTGGTTTGGAATGTTCAGATACCAAGTACCGTACTTGGTACAGGTACAGATACTTTTTCAGCTCCAAGACTAGACTAGAGAAAAATTCAAAGAGCATACGGGGCTCCTAGGATTTGTGCATCCATGTTTTAAAGTATTCCAATGCAACACATTGCTATGAACAATTATTTTTATAATGCTTATTAAATAAATTCAAACCAGTGTTGTAATGAATGATCAAACGCAAGCTTATGAGGTGGCCTACCTGTTGGAACACAGTAATAATATTATGATATATTGCACAATTAGTCTGAGCTGAGGTTGAAAGGCAGCCGTGTTATGCAGTAGTTATAGTAGTAGTAACAGTTATACCCAACTTACAAGCAGGTGAGTTGTAGGCTAGGCAAAAATGAAAGTGATTGAATGCTTTAGCACTATACCTGGAATCATTCATATGTGTTTATATCTGTAGTTTAGTTATGTATAGTGTTCTTTCTTCAAATGTATTAAAAACTCCTATTAGTTTCTGTGTATAGTACAGATCCTGTGGTACTTTTGGCCCCCTGCTGATATCGGTAAGGCTGACATCAGCACATTACCCCTCTGTGCACCTTGCCATACGCAAAGCATAGATTTGGTAAAGCTGTAGCCATGTGGCTGCGTTCATGTAGATGGATGATTACAACTTACATGTAGGACCAATGGGGCAATTTATCAAAACTGGCGCAGGCAGAATCTAGAGCAGTTGCCCATGGCAACCAATCAGCATCTCTCTTCAGTTTGCTCCGGTAAGATGTGGAACTGAGACAGAGAAGCTGATTGATTGCTGTGCAAATCTGCTCCAGATTTGATAAATTCCCCTCAGTGTCTTTAAAACACATTGATTCGGTTCTCCAACAAGCCATTCACATTTTTAAAATGTATTACATTTTGTGGCTGACATTGATGTATACCAATTTATAGGGGTCTGTTCATAAACGATTTGCAGGACCATTCACCCTGCAAATTTCTGTGTGAATAGAGGCGAAAATAAACGTTCCTAGAATATTTTCTTTTCAGGTCGAATGTAATGTAATACCTCATTATGGTCACTAGGTGTTGCTGAGGAGCATACAAAATAAGGAACTATTTCCTATACTCCTCTGCTTCTTGTAGTGGCCACAATGCAGTATTAGATTACAATGAATTCACCTGAAAAGAAAATATTCTTAGAACTCTATGTGCACAGAAGGAGCACACTCAGCAATTTGCAAGGTGAATGGCTCTGTGATTTGTTTCTAATTAGATCCCTATATGTTTAGTAACATTTATAATGTAACGGTACTAAAGATCAGTAGATCTAATTTTTCTCTTTGAATTGCAGGAGCTGACAGAGGCATTACAAGAGAGATCTGATGATGCAGACTGCTACTGTCAAAGAGCATATGCTCATATAGTTCTCCAGAATTACAATGGTAATGACTTGCTCTGCTTTGTTTTTCACACTGTTAGTTGGGCAGATTGTAACACTGTGTAGGTTACTTAAAGCTTGTTGACTTTGAGCATTTTGTTTGCTGCTGCTGAATTTTTCAGACAGAAAGCAAATGAGCCATGGAAGAATGGAAGAAAGCTCCTACAATTTATAATGATGCACACCCAGAGTCTGCTTCCCGTTTTCTGAGCAGTAGGCTTGTTTTGTGAACCTTTTATCTTCCATATCGGAAAATAGAATTTGTGATTTTTTTTTTTTTTTTTTTCTGTAAGGGAGATCATGATTGCAGTTGAATAGGTCAGAAAACGAGAGCGGAGTTTCACCAATGACTGTGCAGATTATTACTGAATTCCAAAGTTAACCCTCCTGCAAGCAGCACTGACTGGCAGGTTAACGTGTGAGTGAACTTTTAGTCCCTATCCTCCCTCCCTCCAAATTTGATACTTTCCTGTTCCCTCCACTGTGACACCTTTGCTGTTTTGTCTGCTTGTTGCTGCACAGCTAAAATCTTCACTGTCGCCTTGGACTCCTCCTGTATGTTAGTGGCGCAATCTCTGTTACAGGCTAGGTGCACCTTTCTGATCATGTTTCATATTACACCGATATTTAGAGTGTAACATGATCAGCTAACAGCCCTTCCTGAACCCCCTACTTATCTGAACTGCGGCGTTCCTCCCCTGCAGGCTTGTTTCCCATTTTTTTTTATTTTGGCACAACTGTGCCTGGCTCCACCCACTTTTCCAGGACCTGTGAATGGTCCCATTAGTATCGCAGCAAAGGTACTTGTCATTTCAATGGAATACACATGTGGTGACGTGTACTTGTAATGTATTGACCCTCCTCCTGTCCATGTTACTGCATGCCTGTACTTCAGTACGGACATGGATGGGAGGAATAGTTTGCAGGAGCCACAGCATTGCACCTGCAATCTACTGATCATGTTTGCACTGCTTTACTGGCTCCTATGCAAAAACAATTATAAATGCACATTTTTTCTTTTATGAGTAGGTCATACAGTGAAGATTTCAGTGGAGTAGAGATAGGTAATGTATAAGACTTGCAGGGACAGAAGAGAATGGGCATCGGAGCCCAATAAACGTAAATGCGCAGAGATTGTTGTTAGAAAAGGTCTTTTTTTTTGTATTGTTGCTGCTGATCCTTCTAGTACTTGCAAATTGGACCCGTATATTACTGATTTCAATGTCTTTTTCTAGTTTTTGAATAGGGTGGTGAAAGGTTATAACCTGCTTTGGGTTGTAATTGCAATCTGCATCCTTACTAGAGGTTTTGTTTCCATTCCTAATCCAGAAACAAAACCGGAAGTTAGTAGAAATCTCTTGCTAGTGCATAGAAATCACGTTTGTCAGATGTAACCGGAACAAATGGTCAGTTGGTATATTTGCGGTCTACTCCTGGTCTTGTGACAAAATATTAGATTTCTGCCAATCGTTGATGGGCTTTAGTTGAGAACATGAGAGCAAATCTTCCCTATGGGGAAAGACATCCCTGGCAGCCTGATCAAAGTTTTAACCCTTCTTCAATGAAATGATTTCCTGAGTAACTGTTCTTTATTATGTTGTATTGCCCATCCCACTGTCATGACCCAAACAGAGCCATGTTTAGTGGTTTTAATACATGGAAAAGCCTCTGACAGAAGAAATCAACACTGTAGAGATGTCTCCTCAACCCTGGGACATGCGAGAGAGACCTCTGCTGGCTGTTATTAGAGTTACAAGTTTTGGTTTTTCTACCTGGAATGTAAGATTATGTTCCACTGGTCCAAAGCTTCCTCCTCACCTTTCCCTTCATGTGTAGAGTAAAGAAAGTCAGACCTCACATCGTCACTGCAGCTGAAGAATGACAGTTTGTCCAGCCATCATTTTCATACAACTTACTATAGATGCAGAATAAACCGTTTTTCTAACAAGTTGTCCTGTTTGAGAATAACATTAAAGTATTTTTTTCTGTTTTGTATAGAGCACGGCAAAGTGTTTTACAAATCAAATAAAGGTTTTTGTTTCCTTGTTTGAGATGATCCCACAAAAAGGAGTGAACAAAATATAAAAACACAAGTACATTGTATATATCAGTGATCAATGTAGCAAGCTGTTAGGCCAAGGCTGGGCACACACCTTACAACCATCCCAAGACTTTTGTCTTGCGATGGTTGTACTTAAAAAAACGTAAGATCTGCCTATGTTGCATAGGCAGATCGTACTTGCGATGATCGCAAGCCACGCCCCCTGAGGGGGGGGGCTTCCGATGACCGCAATGCCGAACGGGCAGTGTGCGCTTGCGCACACCGGCCCGTCCGGCTTTTATCTTACAAACATGCTACACACCCGCCGAACATCGTACGATGCTCAGCGGGTTTGCAAACATGTTAGTAAGTTTAAAGGCGTGCGACCTTACAGTAGTAGAGGTCGCACGTCTTCCACACACCTTACGATAATCGTACGATCTCGGGATTTCCCGCGATTTTCGTACGATTATCGCAAGGTGTGTGGGGACCTTAAGCATGCAGAAAGCAATTTTCTGGCAAGTTTTGACCCACTTGTGATAACATTTTATGAAACCGATGAAGGAAATGTGCCACCAGCAGTTTGGTCATTGTACAGTTTTGATAGATAATGTATGCGGTGGGTGGCATTGAAGCGTTCAGTTGTTTTTTGCAGTTTGCTTTTGTTCAAAGTTGTTTAAATTGCCTGAAACTCACCATGTATAGGGCCAGCATTACAGGACAGACAGAAGAAAGATCCTGCCATGTGTGGCTACTTTAGTCTTATTGGGACATTGATTGTCAAAGGGGCAGCAAGTCCCAGCTGGTGAATGTGGGATAGGCTAGGTACAAACTGTAGGCACATGTTTACAAGGGCTTTGCTCATGTGTGCAGGGAGTCTGTGGTGCTTACTTTTTTTCTGTCCTTGGAGGGTTAACTTTCCAGGCTCTGACTGCGACACTATTGGTTGCATGGCTAGGCTCCCGCTGTGACACTATGCTTGCACAGCAAGGCAGTAAGAGATGCTGTGCCATATTTGAAATTGCACTCTCCCTTTTCTCTACAGCATCTGTGCAGAGACTTTGGCCCTACGGCTCCTGCATGAGTCTCCTCTCAGAGGCTCACGGCACATGTGTGTGTCATTTTCTGGTGCATGCATGGACTTTGTTGCCTTCCTGCCATCTTCTCACCTATGCACCATCCTCTAGGGACATTCTCCTGGGCTCCCTGCTGCTTTGCAGTGACCTAGACACAGATTAACAATCCCAGTGACCATGGGGGCCCTGGCAGCTTACGATTCTCTAACATTAAAGTGGGGATCTTGCACCATTTTCACTAAAGGACATGACACTTGCAGGGAACAATAGCCTGGTCTTTCAGAGTTGCAACACTTCTCAGCCTTCCTTTACTCCTTCAGGGGTTACAAGAATTCAGTCAATCACGGCAGTGGCTTACATCAGCCATCAGTGAGGAACCAGAAGCTCACAGAGAAGTGAATCTGATTCTTGCTTGGGCAGGATGTCATGTTCCAGCCCTGTCCACTGATTATATATATATATATATTTGTGCATTTTGACAATCCCACACAGACAGTACTGATCCATACTCTGAGTTTGGATTCAGTGACAATACATATACATGAGTCTCCTGGGATAGCCTGGGACACAAAGCGGTCTTGAGGTTGTAAAGTAGTACTCTGGGCAAACATATGATTAACCCTTGCAGTGGGGCTACCCCTGCACTGCAAGGGTTACTTGCTCGTTTGTGTCTGGCTGAAAATAAAAAAGTTACACCCACCCGATCCTCCGAGCTGTCAGCGTTACCTCCAGCCTCTCTCCTCCATTGCAGCGATTGTATGTCTCTCTGCGTCCTCACGTCCTATATTCAGTGTATTGGACATGATGACTCGAGGATCCTTAAACCGTGGCAGCGGAAGGGGAGAGACGCTGGAAGGAGCAGTCTAACAGCAAGCTGGCTTTGAGGATCGGCTCAGTATAACTTTTATTTTCAGCCCTAGACAAAAACTAGCATTTAACCCTTGCAGCGTTGGGGGGTGGCCACACTGCAAGGGTTAATAACATCTTTGCCTAAAGTTCTGCTTTAATGTACAGTACAATACCATGGTACTTGTTTTTTTTTTTGCATTTTGATATGTGTACACAGGAGTTTGGTCTATCGTAGCTGGCAATACCGCTTTTTTTGGGGGGTTTGTTTTGGAGTGTTCAGAGATGAACAGAATCCTGTTTCTACCTGGCACCATCCTGTGGCAGTTGAGGGAATTGCAGTCAATGAGAAATTCTTGTTTCTGCTAGGCTCCATCTAGTGGCGGTTGTTGAAACTTCAGCCAATAAGACTGCATATACAATACTCAAATACCTGGTTCTTCACGACAGGGTTTGTTCACCCCCAGTCCTAACTAACCGCAGGGTTCTCATATTCCACTGTAATGGCTCCTAGTTGTAAAGCTCTTTAGTGTTAAAGCACCTGAAAGCTTCTCTATGGATCACAGGAGTTGTGCTTTAGAATGGAATTGGAGAGACTAGGGCCACTGTAGCTGTTTGAAGAGAGGAGATTCCCAAAAAAAATTCCTGAAAGGGTCTGATGACCTACTCCCAAAATCTGCTGAAGGTAACAACACTTCAGTTACACGTTCTACTGACTGGGGGATAAAAGAACAGACAAAAAAGTAAGTGCTTTGGAGCAATGAAGCCAAGGTGGTGCCAAGTGCTCATGGAGAAGGGCCTGTAGAGTCTGACTCATTGTCATCAATACTGAACAGCAAGACAGAGAAAGGAGGCCAAAGCAGGTGTATAGCTGAGGGGTTTGTTTGGATGCCAGAGCTTTTGAATAGGGATTGTGGAACAGGCATATGTTGTGGATTAGGGCTCAGGATGTGAGGGTAATACAGTGCTGATGCATTACTGAAATGGGCACATATTAGGCCTTGGGGTCCAAGACTAGGTGTAATTCTGCCCTGCAGGGATTTAAGACTGAGTGTAACTACTTAAGGTTCCACAAACTGAAAAACACTAAACCATCTTTGAGGATTGTTATATATCGTAGAGGACTGTTGTATGTGGTTAACCTAAGGACTAGTCCTAGCAGACGCACGAGTGTCTCCTAATGCTATAGAACTAAAACAACCAGCATAACCTGGTAATGTATACCCTGTCTCTATACAAATCCCATAATAGAAAACTGGTGTCTCTCTTCAAAACTAGAACTCCCATGGTGGCCTACTGGTATATATCCCCTTTCTTTAGAACCATGATACTGTGCCCTATTTTGTGTGCACCAGCCGAGATGAATATTTCCTTTGTTCTCTTTTTTTCCTTTGGGCAGTGTCCTACTCTACAGCCGTGATGGGGTGGCTGCTTCTAAAGCATTTACTTGTAACCTCTCTGAGCATTGCACAGCGTTTCCCTGCTGTGTTCTCTAAACTGCAGCTCTTTACATTGAATATTGTCAAAAGTAAAAAATGCCATTGTGTAATCCGACTGAGATATATGCCGTGCTTGTGAAATAGAACTGCAGGTAATCATAAGAAAAACACTCTCTAATCCAGTTACATACTTTAACCCTTTTGCTGCCAGGCTCTGCACTCCAATTTTCACCTTAGGTGGCCAAACCATTTTGCTTTTTTTTTTTTCTTCACTTTCTCCTTTGTCGGAGGTTGTAAAGTACCCCCTCAAATCACACTTTTTCTGAATTCAAAGATGGTGCTACTGATATTGTAGGTCAGGTGATCTTCGTGCAAATGTATATCAAAACTTTTATTTTTGATGAATGTACACTAAAGTCATTATTGACTCACAAACACAACATAACTTAAACATTTCCTAGTAAATCCAAATGATAAAACTTTGAGTTAATAACAAGTCTATTGGTGAAAGTATATAGAACATATAATATAGAACTTTGGAGAAACACCAGTGTTCTTAACAGACCTGAGATGTTTCCTCTTTGTGATCAATGATACAGAGTCCTTACGTCTCCTTCTCCTCTGCAGCCCTGCACTTGCTTATGAACACAGAAGTGGTTAGTACTGAGCTCCTCTGTGTTCATTTACAACACTGAAGTAGGTATTAAACTCTGCAATCGTGTTTACACACCTACGGTATGAATGAATATGGACATGCTCTGTGCTTCCGTGTTCATTCAGAAAGTGAAGGAGACCAGCAAACATGATTGTCATGTTTACTACCTCCATTATCCTTTTAGATTTTGTGGATGATGGAGCTGAGTACTATGCATTTGCTCTGCCGTCCTAAATGGAAGAGCTACTGATGAGACTGGCATGCCAGTCTCAATGAGGGGGGAAATGGGTTGGGTTTTTTTTCGGGTGGGGGGGTGATGATGTGACAGCAGCAGCAGCAGCCAGCAGAGAGAGGGCACACGATGCTGGGATGAGAGCGGCACTGCAGGAGAGCACACAATTGTCCCTCCTGCTGTGCTCAGACAGTCGGATTGGAGGTGGTGACATAAATCGAAAAACAGAATGTCCTAGTATCTTCTCTCATCTGTGTTACTTTTTTTTTTTGGGTATAGGCCACAGAAGCGCATGAACTAAGGCTAGCTTATAGACAGCTAGGTTTATATATAAAGAGCTTGTATATGTCCATCTTGACCCTGACCTATTGAAACCTCCCGAGCATATCTTTGGTCACTGTAATTGAGCACAACATAAAAAAACTGGCAGAATTGGGAGTACGGAGGTGCAGTGCTAAAACTGACTTGTGCCATTCAGCTGCCTCTGTCTCTGGATCTACTGATTGCTTTGACATGCAGTTCCACTGAAGGTAACCTCTGTTTTTGAATGTCATCCTGTGCTCTTATTAAAGTGATATACAGCTTTGCTTTTACTTTTGTTGGTGAGGTTTACAAATGTTAAATGTGCCTTGCCCCTGCATAGGTCCACGTTCTATTGCAGATATTCATTGAGTGAAGCTTTCCAGGGCTGTGTTTGAATTTTCAATGCTTTGCTTTAATGCAGATGCTGTTTTGGATGCGAAGAGGTCCCTCGAGCTCCGGCCTAACAATGCAAACGCTTTCCTCCGGAAGGGGTATGTGTCAGTACCAGTTTTCAATTACATTTATTACCGTCTGCAAACCTCTGGCCATGCAGCGTTAAATTGGATATTCATCAGTGCTGCTCTAATATGGATGAAGTTGTCCTGTGAAAAGACTTGGAATACCAATGAGCTAATGAGATACCTTGACATGTATCACCTTTTACAGAGAGTACGGTACTTGAGTTCTGAACTACAGTAAACAGTTATAGTTGTCAAATTCTTTATGAAGAAGAGATTGTTTAATATTATGACCATCTGTGCTACTGTCATGTCTAACTAAATGCTATTTTCCTGTTCTACCCATCAGTCCCTAGCTACATACATTGTCAGCATCCACAGTCCTGAAAATGGATGTTCTGATTATGTTCTTTGCCAGTGGCAGCAAGGAGAAGAAAACATGAGGATCTGAAAATCATTGATATATTTAATGAGTGTATTTCATGTGAAGATCCCCCATCGTCCACACTTTGCCTAAATCAGACACATTTTTAAATTCAGCTTCACTCTTATTCTGGATTACTTTGTTACCATGGAAACTGCAATTTCCTATTTTTTTTTTCTGTGAGGCTTCTTATTTGCATGATGTCATTGCATTGAACTGAGCATGTAATTGACTACAATGTGCCCTTCCTGCTCTCCGTTTATTCTTGCAGCAATGCAGTGTGCAAACATATCGAGTTTTTAAAAGGAAATAGTTTTTTTTAAAACTAATAACAAAGCATTGATCATATTGTTCAGTCAAGGTCACAGATCAATTCATTTTTTCCTGATTTTCTGTTTTGTGGGCCTTTTTTTTAGGGTTCCGATTAACTGTTCATTAATATAAGAAAAGATTTTAATTTGACACTAAATAAATAATTATTTTTGTCCTTATCTGCCCAAACAAAGTAGTGAATTTAGAATGCCGCATAATAGGAGGCAAGGTTAAAGCATGGCAATAGCTGTTGTTAAAGAAGATCTCCAGGAAAACTTATTAAACCTTTTCAGTGGTGTCTAGGGACAAAAAAAACACACTCACCTGAAGGTCCGAGCCGGCCCGCTGTCACAGCGCTCCCTCCAGCCTGCTCTGCAGCAGCATTGTAATCTCCCTTGGCGTCCTCGCATCTATAAACAGAGGGGCATTTATCAAAATCTGGAGCAGCCGTGCATGGCAACCAATCAGCTTCTCTCTTTCATCTTCAAATCTTAACTGAACAAATTGAAGATAGATGCTGATAGGTGCTTCAGTTTCTGTCTGCTCCAGTTTTGGTAAGTTCCCCCCATTGTGTTTAGACGTGATGACGTGCGGGACCTTAGGCCGCTGTAGAGGAGGGGGGAGAGATGTTGGACGGACCGGTCTAAGAAGAAGCCAGCTTGAAGTGTCGGGCGAGTATAACTTTTTTTTGTTTTTTTGTTAACCTAGACACAACCGAGCACTTAAACCCTTGTAGTGCGGGGGGTAGCCCCACTACAAGGGTTAATAAAAATGTTTTCCTGGAGCTGGTGCTCAATTTTGAATTTGAAAAATAGACGCCAAAAGGACAGTAAACATGCTGGTACTGTGATTACATTTAAGTACAGACATGGTTATCTTATATTTGTAGCAAACTCGCAGCCCCCATTTCAGCAACCAAGTGGATATTGATTGTTTGCAGTTGTTAATATCTGACACAAGTTCCAATTAGCAGCAGATGTGGAATCACATTATGTGGAGTTTTTTTTTTAACCCATGCATGACCTAAGATCTAATCAAAAAGGTGCAGCCAGATAAAGAGAAATTATAAAAACATGATAGTATCACCATCCAAGAAGTGCTTTCTGGTCCTAACAACTAAAGGTGCCCATACACTGCACGATTCTCGTACGAGAATCGGGCGAAATCCCGCGATCGTACGAGAATCGAGCAGTGTGAACTAAGACGTGCGACCGTTTCTACTGTACGGCCGCACGTCTTTTGTCGAGCCAACATGCTCGAAAACCCGCCGAGAATCGTACGATTCTTGGCGGGTTTCTAGCCTGCTCGCCCGATAGCTGCGGAACGGGCCGGTGTGCGCACGCGCACACTGCCTGTTCTGCATTGCTGTCATCGGAAGCCCGCCCCTCAGCGGGGCGGGCTTTCGATGATCGCAAGTACGATCTGCCCGTCCAAGGTGGGCAGATCGTACGGGCTTTCAAGAAGCATACGACCATCGCAAGACAAAAGTCTTGCGATGGTCGTAAGGTGTAAGGGCACCTTAATAATGTGCATTTCTACACACCCTATACAAGTTGTAGGAGCTATGAAATCATCACTCTGAAATGTGTGACCCAGATTGTCCATGGGCTGTAAAATGACACATGGGCTCACGTGCAGCACAGATCTGCTTATTTGAACCTGCCTGTAGAGCTACTTATTGAAGACAGGAAGTTGTAGTTTTTATTTTGCCTTTATTCTTCATTGGCTTTATCAAATATTAAAATCCCTTATTTTTTTTTACAGCACAAGAGACTTTTAAACAAGGGCAGACATTAAACTGTAAGTACTCATCTAAATGACCTTTTCCCATAATTTGAGGTATTATTTACAACATATTAAATATCTTTCTCTATATAGGAGTGATATTTGCATAATTAGCAAGTAATATAACTTTCCTGACTGCTTTGGGGTTCCCGCCTCTTACAGGTCCTGGATTTTCACAGAAGGTTGCAAATATGCATTTTATTTGTTGGGTTTTTTTGGGACATATTTGTAATATAAAATAAGAACTGCAGGCTACCCCCGCACTGCATGGGCTAAGTGCTCATTTGTGTCTAGGTGCTAAAAAAAAAAAAAAGTTATACTCATGAGACCATTCTAGCCGTCACTGTCTGGAGCATCTTTCCCCCTCTGCTACAGTGGTGTAAGGATCCTGGTGTCATCACGCTATATACACTGACTGTGTATAGAAGCGAGGACACCAGGAGCATATCATCTGTGCAGCAGAGTAGTAGACACGCTTCATTGATCACCGAAGCAGGGAACCGGCTCCAATGGTTTGGTGAATATAACTTTTTTTTTTTAGCACCTAGACAGAAATGAGCACTTGCAGTGGGGCTAGCCCCACTGCAAGGGTTAAGAAGAATTTTTAACCAGAGTTCTTTAATTCCTTGTGGAGTTGGACTTCAGCCAGTCTTGTTGTTTGCTTGTAGTCTGTAGCAGGGAGAGATAGCTTTTAGTTTACTAAAAGGGAATTTGAAAGTTGCACAAAAATCCCCTTTAAGACCAGATTTACACTTTCCTGTTGCGGTAACATGCACATTATTGTGCCACGCAGAAATTAACGTAACATGCATTGCGGAGCCATTCATTTTCTTTCACAAATTTGTATTAGTTTTAAAAAACAAACTATGAACAAAAGCAGATAGAAGATCATTAAGCTGACATGACAGCCAAAAGGGGCCAGTAAGACCTTAGTAGTCCAAAACATCAGAGTATGGATCATCACAGTAACAGTCAAAGTAAGTTGATGGTCAGCATTAAGAAGAGGTAGCCATGGTATCCCATTGGGACCCCTATTTTTCTGTCAATGGCTACCACGGTCTAATGGACAACCTACTGTAGTGGTCTCGGGAAATATTCACAAACTTTCAAAAAAATGGATGGAGAAAAGGAGGAACCCATCCTCTGCGAGGTAAACCCTGAGAACTCAAGTCAGGAATGACCCAATTAATGGGTACTAAAATTAGGAAGGAAGGGGGAGAGTTTAAAGGGCAGAGAAAATGGTAAAAAGGGCAGAAGAAAGGAAAAGAGAGAGAAAAGCAGAAAAAGATCAAAGTGCAGGCAAGAAGAACCCAAAGAAAAGAAGAGTTGGGAAGGAAGACGAAAGCCAGGGAAGAGCGGTTGAGGAGGGGTTTGCTCATGCGATCGAGAAAGTCAATGCAAGAAGACACTATTGCATCGTCAAAACAATGCGGAGTCGCGTACAAGATGCAAAGTCTCTAAATGTTCAAGCGGTTTATGTTCAGTGGCACCCCAGTTCACTAAGGTAGCGCACAACCACCCAACGTAGTGAATTACTGTGCATTGTGTTAGGGAAAAGGGGCCTTATGTAATTTTAAACATGTTGGGGTGCATTGGCAGTCCATTAATTTTAAATGGGCTTCCTTAAAGGAGAATTATGAGGCGAGTGAAAATCACTCAGCCTCCTACTTCTAGCTGACCTGTGACAATGAAAGTGTCACACGTCGGCTCAATAGATTGGGAAGTGAGCGAACACATAGTGTCACTCGCTCACTTCTCGATCTATCCCTGCAGAGAGCCGTGAATGTAACTCACGGCTCCCTGCAGGGATTTCCCCCCCTCCCCGATCCTCCAGCGCTGACTGGCGGAACGGACGGGGGAGGGGGCGGGCACAGCTGGCTCTGCCTCTAGATAGGCAGAGCCAGCTGTCAATCCCGCAGCTGGGTGGATCTTGACAGTAATGTCGGGATCCGTCCCGGCTGCGGCGTCTCCAGTATACCGCGAGCTGTAGCTTGTGGTATACTGAGCTTAGGGTGACGGGAGGACACTAGTTTGTGTCCTCCCATTACCCTTAGGAGAACTTTGGGGAAAAGCCCTGACCCCATAGTTCTCCTTTAATGCAACGAACGTTAACACATTACATAACACATGCTATTATACCACACATAGGTAAATAAAAACCTGAAAAAAAAGAAAACTAATGCAGCCACCACAGCTATGAAGTGGTAAGCTACAATATATTACATTTTTGTTGTTGGATTTAGGTATACTTTGTCATCGGTTCTCAACTCGTGGGTCGCGACACCTTCTGCAGTGGGTCGCGGTGTCATTTCTTCATAGAGCAGCCCATCTGCAGTAGAGCGAAATAGAGAGGGGAATTTGTAGTTCAGCCTGTGTGAACTCCATAATGTAAAACTGTCCCCTCTCTCCCTGCCTCCCCCGTGCTCTCCGATAAAGCGATATGGCCCGGGAGAGAGGGGACTATTTTCTCACTTTCGGCCGGCGCATTAATATCAGGAGCTGCGGCTACCGACAATTAAGTTAAAGTTCCGGCCCGGCCTGCACTGGAGAGTACAGCAGATATCCATCCGCCGCTGTATCTGCTGTACTCTCCAGTGCAGATAGTTCAGTCTGACTGGAATCGGAGAAATGTAGGCAGGCAAGGAGATGTGCACTGTGGCAGGACAGGGGACACTGATGGATATTATGTATTCCAAGCCCACATAATGTCCATCAGTATACCTTGTCATATTGTCGCCTAACGCTTCTGCACTGACAGGGGACATCATGACAGGGGTCACTGATGCACATTATGTACACCACCAACCGCCATAGTTTTCGTGGTCCCCTGCTCCTTTTGGGGGACTCGGGACCATGGCAGTTCATTTAGAATAGGGAGCAGGAGCAGGCCGGTTCTGATCTGCTGTACTGACAGTGTTTCCTGTCTCAGCAGTCACAAGCTGGGCTGCACGGGAGATGGAGCACAATGCTGTGCTTGATCACCTGTGTTGGAGTGCAGGGGAGACATTAGCGCTCTTTAGACCCCAGATGTTTCCATAAAGAGAACCTTTCACCTCAATACAATATCACATAGGAGCTAGTTAGCTCCTATGTAATAGTAATAAAGTTAAGGGGAAAAAAACTAGTCATAAAAAATAATAAAATAAATATTTAAAAACTAAAACCAACTCTACCATTTGCATGAGAATAAACATGCGTATGTGGGGCATTCATGTGTACGCCCCAAACATGTTGGCTATCACCGTGAACGTTGGAGTGAGAGCAATAATTCTCGGGCCATAATTCATGGTTAACGCTAAACTGATGATCTGTACAGGCTTTTAAAACGTCACCTATGGACAATGTTGTGAAGCATAGTTTTACGCCATTGCTGAGGTGCATGCAATTTTAACACTTGATATATTTGGTATCTATTTACTCGATGTAACTGCATTTTTAATATTTCACCAAAAATGTGACCATGTGTCACATTGTTATGCATGATAAAGGGACTACATGTGGTTCCTGTCAGTCATTATGGTGTCACCCCCTCTGATGGTATCACTGGGTGTGGGCCACACATCCCTTGTGACGCCACTGCCTGCAATACTGCCCCTACCCCCTACTAAAGCTCCAAACCCCCACAATACAATTCCATAGCCCCAATAAAATTTTAGTCCCTGACAATACCACCCTTACCCCCCCTAGAGGTCCCAATCCAAGTTGGGCTACAACTTTAGTCCATTGGACAAGTATTTTTTTTTTTTTTTTACATTTCCAAACCCCTGAATGTTATATATACTAGGTTTATGCGTTTACTGCTCATTAGCTTGATATTCCAAGTTTATGTAATTGCAGTTTTATGACTCAATGCTTTGGGGCTGGCGTACACTTATATTCAGGGCTGGTTTTTACTTCTAGTCTGCTGTCACTGGAGACTACCAATTACATTCAAGAATATCGGAGAATATACCATCATTTGGAGGAGTAGATCAAATTGTAGATCAAATGTTACTGTTTAAAATGTGCATATACTGTATACGTTGCTGAATACTGCACAAGTTGGTTTTGTGTAATAAATGAAAATGTTTCAGAAATGAAATAATTTTTGTATCACGACTTAATGACCTAGGAAAAATGTGGGTCCCGAGGTTACACAGGTTGAGAACCACTGCTTTAAGTGCACCTGTTTCTTTGCTCTGCATGGGGAAAGCCCAAAGCCCCTAAAGCAGGGGTAGCCAAACGCCAGCCCTCCAGGAGTGGTGGAACTACAAATCCCATGAGGCATTGCAAGATTCTCACAGCCACAGACATGACTCCTGGAGAGATGCATCATGGGATTTGTAGTTTCACCACAGCTGGAGGGCCGGAGTTTGGCTACCCCTGCCCTAAAGTATACTTTTCAGCAACATTGTTTAGAAATAAGAGGTGTATTTTAAAAATTTTAACTATTTTACCTTTGTATTTGTTTTGAAAATTTGGGACTTATTACGTTGAAGAACTTTTTATAACTAAAAGATGTGGGGGACACGTCCATAAAAAACTATTCGAAGAACACAGGACATGCCTTATCCTTCTCTCCAACTGCAGCTTTCTCTCCCGCACTTGTCAAATGATAACTGGGAGTTGCTGTGTAAATACAGTAACTGCCGGTGTCAAAAAACAGACCGTCTGACACTGTGTTAAAAAACAGGTAGAGAGATTCAAATAACATTGTAATTTCTATTTACCCTGCTTCATTTATTTGTAAATCAAAGGGATGAGCTTTCAACTACATATAATATCAACTTTTTTTTTTCCTGTGTGTTAATTTGTGTTTTTTTTAAATCGATTTGTTATATTTTTTGTCTATGGATTGCATAAAATAATTTTTGCAAGATAGTATTACCAAAAGAAAGTCTAGTTTGTCTAAAAAAAACAAAACAACCAGCGTGCCTTCCGGCCTCCTCTGGGGTGGGGTTCCCCTTTTTAAAGTCTATACTAGCCCTCTATCTCGGATCTCAGGGATGTCTTTTAAAATATATACCTTTTTATAGGTTTTAGACAAGGGTGCCTTGAGATTTTGTATACTTTCAAAAGGTGCCATGGCTGAAACGCTTGTTATAGCATTATAAATTCCCTGACGTGCAATAAGAGATAAGGAGTAAAAAAACAGAGAGAACATTTTTGTGTAATAAACTTGATTTTGGGCTCAATACTTTATAAAGAAAAAAAATCACTGTATGCAAGGACCGTCTTACAAGATGTATGAGTACTAATGTGCACATCAAGCATATTGCTGCTGAAAGCAAGACAAACTTAGAGAAAGATGAATGACCTGCATTTTCCAAAAGCAAATCTAAAATCTCCTGATTTCATTGTTTCGTACAAGTGTTTACAGTTGGCTTTGATTTTTTCCGAATACAGTTATTTATGGACCTACTTTATATAACCCTCTGTTTTCTATCTGTTCTGTTGGATTTTTTCTTTCCTAATAAGGAGTGTATTTGGCTCAAATTTAAAGTAATTGCTGTTTTGTGTTGTGCTTGAAAAACATTTTTTGAAGGTACTGTAGTTTCAAAATGAAATAAAACATTTTCTGTATGTGTGTAGGAGCTGCAGTAACTGCAAAATGAGAACATGCTAATGAAGATTTCCGAGAGTGCTTATAAGGCTTTAAATGACCTTTTGAATGTTTTGTAAGCTCAGATTATTAGGTGAAGAAGAGACATTGACCTCGCTACATAAAGCTATATACTAAGTAAATAGCTTGTCCTCCGTTTTGCAGCCGTACGGCATATTCTGAGTTTTGAAACCTCAAATACTATGTAACTATGTAACTATATAATTTGTTCCCATCTATAGTCTGATCTACACCCATCAGCCATAACATTATGACCACTGCGAGGTGAAGTGAATAACACTGATTATCTAATTACAAAGGCACCTAGAAGTGGGTGGGATATATTGGGCAGCAAGTAAGCATGTTGTCGCTGAAGTTGATGTGTTGGAATCAGAAAAAATGGGCAAGCATAAAGATTTAGAAAATTGTAAAATCTGCGCTTGTGGGTAGGTACAGTATAAAAGCTGCTGCGCTCTGAACCCTGGGGTCACAATTGATAAAGTGCTAAATGTGCAGCGCTAAAAGGTGATAATTAAGTAAAAGTCTTTAATATCAAAACAAGTAATGTAATTATAAGGTGTAATAGTGCAAAAGATCAACTAAAACAGCAGTGTTCAGACAATAGTGGTGGTGCTATTAAGTAGCTATTAAATGGCCTCAGTGTGAACAATTCACTCTTTTATCACCCTGCTGGTGATCATTTCAAACAGTGTATAGAGATCAAATACTGTAAATCGCTGTTTGCCAGCCAAAACAATAGAATTTTTAAAACAGTCCCAAGTGGTGATCCATTTAACATAAAAGCAAGTGTAATATTAGTGATATAGTTCAAAGTGAGTCCAAAAAAAACTTCAAATGAATGTTTCAAGATGTTGGATAAATTCTTCCCACACCACTGTGCTTCAAGTGTCCAAAAAATGCCCCCTATGGGGTGCGCACTCACCCCACTCCTGAGGTGATAGGATGCACTATGGGAAGAAGGCAAGCTGGCAGAGGCAGTGTAATGCTTTGGGCGATGTTCTGCAGGGGAGCCTTGGGCCCTGCCATTCATGTGGATGTTGACACACACCATTTATCTAAGCTTTGTTGATGACCAAGAAACGGTGATCTCTGATGGCAGTGGCCTTTCAGCAGGATAATGCACCCTGCCACACAGCAAAAATGGTTCAAGAATGATTTAAGCAACACAACAATGAGTTTGAGGTGTTGACTTGGCTTCCATATTCTCCAGATCTCAATCCAATCGAGCATGTGTGGGATGTGTTGGAGAAACAAGTTTGATCCATGTAGGCCCCACCTTACAAATTACAGAACTTTAAGGATCGGCTACTGATGGCTTTGAACGAGATACCACAGCAAATCTTCAGAGGTCAAGCGGAATCCATGCCTTGATGGGTCAGGGTTGTTTTGGCGGCAAATGGGGACCTACTCAATATTAGGCGGGTGGTCATAATGTTATGGCTGATTGGTGTATGCAAACACTTATGACATCCACAAAGTGGGACATATTTCAGCATGGCTAAATAACTTGTAAAACAACTATGCTAAAACTCAGTCCCCGTGGGGATTTTTGATGACCCCTTTCTATTCTTTTCTGCACTAGCATCCATCTCCCACTGTCACTAACGTAGTATACCTATTGGCCGAAACGAAGGAGGCTCAGTTGCACCATGGAGAGAGGGAGTGGGGTTTGATCTCCCAGGATGGATTTTCCCAACCAATCACTAACTATTATATTTTCCTAATACAAGTCAATGCTTAAAATATAGCCACCTATCCCCTGCTTTATGGACGGAAAGTATTCACCTGCACTTTTGTTTTGCCCTGTTGGGATCCAGTTTGTATACACAGCAGTAATTACCTCTTGGCTTCATCTGTCATACATGTCACTGCCAGTCAGGTTTTCCTTAATACTTTTCTCGAGCAATATGGGAATTTGAATAGGAGGACTTAAAGGTGAACTCCGGGATAATCAAATATTGTCTGAATGCAAGAGGCATGTGTATTCTTACTTGAATCTTGGTGAGCTTTGTGTATTTCTTCTAGTAATCCAGTCTGAATCTTTATCTCTGTGTGGGAGATTCCTGTAATACAGAGCGCTCACTGCTGTCTCTCCTTGTGCTGGGTAACTGGTCTTGTCTCTCTCCCGTCCCCACCCCCGTCATTTTCTTCAGTCAGCCTGTAGTCGGTAGACCTTTTGGTCTTTTTTTTTTTTTACTGCAGAGTGATAGCGCAGTGCTGCTGGAAAGGTGATACCTGGGTTTGTAAAGGCATTTTGTGCACACGCTATGTAGTGGATTTATTTCCTTTGTGGCTATCGAGGAATATATTTAAATAAGAAATGGTGTGCCTGTAGTTCAGCATTAAAGGAGAATTATGACCTAAGGGCAAATAAGTACTTCTTGCCTTTACTCTAATAGCATTCTTCTTCTTTTCCAAAGTCGCAGCACATCCCAGACAAATTAATCAAAAGTCACAGAAAACAGCCACCTGCAGCCATGCTCCAAGCTCCTCTCCTCTTAGGGGGCGTTAACAGGGAATGCAGCCCCGCCCTCAGCTTTTTTTTCTTTTAACTCTATCTACCGTGGCCACGCTTTCTCTAGTCAAGCACACTGTGTACGGCTGGAGTGTGCACGCTGACATGTGGGAGCAGGAGGCAGAGTCTCAACTGAGAAGCAGCAAGCTGACTCGGCCTCCCTTCACTTTCCCTCTCTCTTACCAGTATTTCCCTCTCTCTTCACCGATCTTCTCCTGCTCTGTCTCAGTAATCAGATGCTTGCAGCACTTGTAGGAAAACCTTTTCCACGTAAATCTTAGTTCCCACTGACCGTTCAGCTATTACCATAACCCCGCCCATTCCTTACAGCTGCTTAGTATTTACATAGCCCCGCCCCCTCTCTGCAAGCTCGGGTGTTCTATGAGAAAGAGACGAATGTCTCCTCTGACATTGTGTGCTCTGATCGGTCAGCTTCCCCTCCCCCCACTGACTTGCCTCCCCCTCACATGTCACTGCTCTCAGTGTTGTGTTGCTGCGATCTGATATTTACTGTCGCATCCCCATCCTCAATCCTCATCCCCATCCGCGCTCCTCATCCCTGCTCCTCGTCCCCATCCGCACTCCTCATCCCCATCCGCGCTCCTCATCCCCATCCGCGCTCCTCATCCCCATCCGCGCTCCTCATCCCCATCCGCGCTCCCCATCCATGGGGCTGAGGAGTGCGGATGGGGCTGTGACAGGAAATATCAGATCGCAGCAACACAACACTGAGAGCGGTGACATGTGACAGGGGGAAGGGGAGGAGCTGAACGATCAGAGCACACAATGCGAGAGGAGACGACATTCGTTTCTTTCTCATAGAACACCGGAGCTTGCAGAGAGTGGGCGGGGCTATGTAAATACTAAACGGCTGTATGGAAGTGGCGGATTTATGGTAATAGCTGAACGGTCAGGGAGAACTACGGGGAACAGGTTTCCATACAACTGCTGCACATTTTCAAGACGGCCTTCCATGCACGTGCTGCCATTTGCTGGCACAGACAACGGGGACGGAGGTAGGAAGAGAGCTGCTGCGCATGCCCATGTATTCGTGGACGCGCGGAGCAGTGCACGTGGAGCAGTTCTCAAGGAACGCCGTCAGTCACAGTGAGAACGAGCAGTTGGGAGGATCCCAACAGTATTGTCGGGATCTCTCCCCACTGCGGTGCTTAGCCCCGCCCACCATCTTAAAGTAACGATTGTATGTTTAGGGTGCATTTTGGATTATAGGAGTAAATTGCAAAATGTACTCCTATAGCCCATGGAATCCAAAAGTAAGGAAAAGCTTGGACCCCATAGTTCTCTAATCTGTTAAGGACAATACAGACAGAGTCAGATGCGTCCTAGTGTGGTTTTGTTGCTGTGGTTATGTTCAAATGTAACTGTAATTTTCAGACTGCATGCTAACGGTAAAAAAAAATTTTTTTCCATCCCTTCTAGCATCTGAGTCAACATTTTCAACATGGATAAAGAGATGTGAAGACAATTTAAATGGTGAGTTTATCTTACCTTGCAACAGCTATAATAATCATAATGAAATGAGCATTCAGATCTAATTCAGTCTTTTTAGTGATAACCATTCCTTTGTGTTTAATACAAATACATGAAAGGGCGCCCTGTTTTCAGTTCCTAAAATATGTAAAATGGACAGATAGTGGGAAGCATTTTCCTTTCTGCATAAAACCAATCCAATATACTGGAGATGAGGAGCAACCTCCCCAATGTGGACACACACAGCAATTAAAATATGCAAAGGGTTTAACCCTTAATCCAAAACTAAAAAAGTGCTGACTTAAGATGGCTTCCATGTCAGTGCAAACAGAAGATATGCTGGCCACACACCAGATTCCACCAGATAGTTTATTGAAGCGTGTACCACATCACTAGTGTCCCCCCTAAGGTCCACCCCACACGTTCATATTGGAGTGAGGATGTGCTCCCAGCAGCAAGGACCCGGCTTATTCCTTTCCTGAGCTGTGGAGTAGCAGTGCTTCTTTTGTCTCTTCTCCTTGCACGTTTGTACCTTACTCCTCTTGACAAAGTGCAAAGTTACTATTGAAATGAATGGACATTGCATCAAATGGACATGTGCAGGAGGAGCTGGACTCAATAGTGAAGATCTGGAAAGGAACTGTGCAGTACGGATTTCTCGGTGGAGTGTATATAAGTGTTGTTACGCTCTAAGTAACTTAGTATGTTGATTTTCCTGTTTTTATTAAAACCTTGTTAAATTTCACCCCCTTTTTTTTCTTTCAGTATCCTCATCAGCTGAATTGGTAAGAATTACATTTTTGTTCCTTCTTTTGCAAGCTGTTTACTCAACGTTTTAAAGGTTTATGTTGTATGGTAAGAACCAAACTTGCTGAAGAATGGGTAGGATGCAATTTTTCCTGTCACTGCCCCCCTTAGTAGTTTAGCAGCTGAGATTGTGGGGACCCTCCAGAACAGCTTTTCTTTCTACCACCTCATAACCCACAGTAGGACATAGTGAATTTTTTCATACTAATGGGAAACTCATGGGTGGAAAATAATTACTGTGCTTGAACTAGATGAATGGCATTTATGGCAGTATGAAACAATAGTTGATCTTGTCATCAGTATTACTAGGATATCAGCTGCTTTGTTTGTTAAAACCGTGAAGTCAACCTGTAGTGTTGGACAGATTTTTTTTTTTTTTTTTTCCCCACATGCTTTCTGTGTTTTTGTAGGTTTGAAAGTTTCTCATTAATAGTGCATTTGTATCATGCCTTAAAAATTCTGGTATATAATGGTGGCCACATGTAGGAAATTTAAATACAAAATGCATGGCATGTTCTACTTTATACAGCCGCAAGCAATGATTGCACCGCAACCTGCTTCATACTTGTTTTTGTTGTGTCCAGTGTTTAAAGTGTTTGAATACTGTATATTAATCCTGTATTTTTGGAGGTGAGTATTCATCACAGTGACAACTTGTACTTACGTGCTCCTATAAACATGGTCATGATCAAGTCTACGGGCACATTCAGGTGGCGTTAAGCACCTTCAACATACATGTCAGAATTCACATATTCACCAGACTCGGGATGGTTAAAGTGGAACTCAGAAGAAATTATTTGTGAACACGGCATAAGTGAAAAAAAAGTTACCTCTTGACGAATTACCTTGTTCCCTGGATCCCTGTTTACTGTAAAACACTATCTTCTTCTTATTCCAGATACTATACACAACACTCTTCCTACGGCATTGCCATTGACAGTTCTGGCTAGAGTACAGTGTGGAGATCGAAACGTTCACTTTCTCCTTACTCTGGGCAATACAAGGCATTCTGTTAATGGACAAGTGGAGAATCTGTTGTCTACCCGACCCTCCCTGACACTTTGAAGAATATTCGCTTTTTTGCGAATGGATGAGAAAGGATGAAGGGGATAGTGAACAACTCGATCGCCGCACTGTTCTGTAGCCGGAACTGTCAATCGCAGTGTTGGAAGAAGAGTGTTGACAGCAGTGTCTGGCATCAAAGAAGCTGTTTTTACACTAAACAGCAGGGATCTAGAAATAGGGTCATCGTCATTACAGCTAAGACCCCATTCACACTGAGCGACATGCAAATCGCGCGACTTTGAGCGACTTTGAGCGACGTTGAGCGACGTCTTCCTATTGGGCTGTATGCAATCAGGAGCAATATCGCTCAAAATCGCTCTAAAAAAGGGTCATGTAGAAGCGACAAGCTACCAGCGACGAGCTACAAGCGATATTGAGCGATATTGAGCGACGAGATGTGAACAGCTACATTGAATTGTATTGGTGAAGCTACATAGAGCGATATAGTGCGGAAATATGAGCGATATCGCTACAAAAATCGCGCGATAAATCGCTCAATGTGAACGGGGCCTAACTTCTTTCACCTGTGCCGTACTCAAATTGTTTTTATTCTTGCAGTTCCATTTTAAGGTGAGCTGTGTTTACATATGAATGATAACACTTTTCTTCAAAGATCCAAACAAAAGGCACCATAAACCATTGTGCCTGAAAGCTTTGGGCACTTATCCTGTATGTCTTGCTACCTGTCTAATAGTTCTGCAAAAGAACATTTCTAAGGCAGATATAACCAGTTGTGACTATGGAAGTATTCTATACACCAAAGAAAACTTTATTAAAATACGTTGGGCCTGTGTAGTGCGCCCTGCTCCTCCTCCTTCCGCACTGCCCATTCCCGGCTGTTATTGTTGACAGCCTGGAATTTGTTTTCTATCTTTCTGCTCCTGTGTAAATTGACACTCTCAGAACAATGTCTGCAGTGTCAATGAGAGTTAAGATTTGATAGTGTTATTATTTGAACTACTCTGACCTTTGATCTGCAAATGATGTCAGTTAAACCAACCTTGCAAATTAAAAAAACAAACCCTATTTGACCCCTTCCTTTTTTCCCCTCCTTAGCTACTGCATCTATTGAGAGTGCATTTCACCAGAGATTTGATGACTGATAAGCACACGGTTGTTTGCAGATTAATTGATGCAGTACACTCTGCTATAAATCTAGAGGATCAACCTCTTGTATCTGGTAACGGGTCTTTTTTTAGTGCTAACAAACAGACCTTTCCAACATCCTCTGTTCTGGAACAGTAGCTTCCTTTACAATTGTGGCTTCCTTTTAATAATTTGCATTAGTGTTTTTTCTTTCCATAAGGAATTTCTTGACAAATGGTCCCTACTCTTTGTGGACATTCCGGTTCTTCACCAAAATGAGCACTTCATTAATTTAGTTCAGGGGTGTGGAATTTTTTTTAAAAAATCTACTGGTCCATAGGCTAAAGCGAGGGCCGAATCTACTTGTCCTTCATTAAAATCTACTTGTCCCAATACAAAAAAATAGTTTTAATCAAAACTAGGGATGCACCAATACCGGTTTTTCGTTATCGAGTACAAGTACCAATATTTTGCTTTCGGTACTCGCCGAATACCAATACCTGTGCATCTGCTGGCATGGAGCAGGCTTCCTGGGTAATCAGGAAGCCGGGCAGCGGTTAATGACATTCCACCCGACTTCCTGATTGCCAAGGAAGCTGGCTCCATGTTGTTTGGCCTGTTTGATTGTGATTGGCCAGGAAACTGGCTTCCCAGCCAATCAGGAAGCCGGGTGGCGAGTAATGACCTGATTGACCGGGAAGCAGTCTCGATGCTGATTGGCCAATCAGCAAGGAGCCGGCTTCCCGGCCAATCGGGAAACTAGGAGGTCATTACTTGCCGCACGGCTTCCTGATTGCACGGCAAGCTGGCTCCATGTTTCCCTACGGCACTGCCGGTCAGAGGAAATTTTCCTCTGGCTGTAAGTTCCAGTATCAGGGAAGGTATCAGAGCATTCAGGTGAGTACAAGTACTCGCCCAAATACTCGGTATCGGCACTGATACTAGTATCGGAGCATCCCTAATCAAAGCGTATTTAACTGTGCTAAATAGCGCTTCTCACTGGTCAGCACGGTCAACTGACCACGCTGACCAATGAGTGCTTGCAATTTGAGAGCGAAATTCAAAAGGCATAGGGCAGGACTGGGCTGGACAGCAGTACGGGGTACAGACAGTACACCCGTACTTGCAGGGGGGGAACTGTACGCTGAAAGGTAAGTATAGCTGGGATGGGCCAGATTTCATCGGGTAATCCCATTTTCCCATATTACCTGGGAAAGTAAACTTACCCTTTAATGCACATTGTGTGTGTGTGAGAGTTCTGCTGCCTGGCTACCACAATGGAATGGCGGCAGCACTCAACGCACATGCACAATTTCCTATGCGTGCCTTTATTTGCATGCAGATGGCGGGGGCAGCGGGGTTGGTTTTCATGTTGGTTTTCATGTGATTTCCGCGCCACGCTTTTCAGAGCAGATGAGGAATGGAAGTTCTTCGTCTGCTCTACAGGCTCTATTACTGAGCTGTTGTGCCTTGGTCTTGGGCCCCCCAGAAAAGCACGGGGACCCGAAAACCGCGGTGGGGGGTGCGGGCGGACACGATCCCCGCTGCTCGTTTGATACAAGTGATCTGATCAGTACATTTAGCTCTGCTTGTCCGAAGGAGGGCTAAATGTACAAAAAAACGACTCGCCCAGCGCCCGAAACTGCATGTCCTGGGTGTCGGGTGATAGGAATTCCACACCCCTGTTGATGGGGCCTTTACCTTTTAGAGACTTCACTGATCTTCAGTTGAATATAAATCCCATAAGAAATGAAAAGTATGTGTGTCATGTCGTGTCTTTCAGCAACAGAACAAGGCCAGGCACCATATATATATTTTTGTAATTAAAAGACAAAAAAACACTTGTGTATACCCATAGTTATAACAAAAATAATTTTCCTGAAGTACTCGCCGATGCCAATTAACTTTTTTTTTTGTGTCATGTGATTTTCTAAGACAATACAGACTAATGATTTTAGGACAGTGGTAAAGTGCCAGGACCCAGTCAAAGCTGCACACTCTGCGTCCCCTGGTTGTTTCTGCCACTGACTCCAAGCTGTAGAGGGATTACAAATCTCAGCAATACATTATACAGCAATGCAGAATACCACCAGCTATAGAGGACTACAAATCTCAGCAATACATTATACAGCAATGCAGAATACCACCAGCTATAGAGGGATTACAAATCTCAGCAATACATTATACAGCAATGCAGAATAATACCACCAGCTATAGAGGACTACAAATCTCAGCAATACATTATAGAGCAAGGCAGAATAGTATATGAATTTGCTACATATTCTGTGCTGCCGCTCTGCTCCAGGCTGCCAGCCTGATATTGAGGTGCAGAGGCAGATGTGGAGGACCTCAGTAAGGGCAGATGCGGAGTGCCTAGTACTTGTGAAAATGCCCAGTATCACTACTGATACCGGTATTAGTATCGGTGCATCCCTAAAATCCACCCATATTTTTTGCATAAAGAGAAGATGTCTATTAATTTAACTTGATTTTTAGCTCGTGTTTGCCATAGCAAATTTTTTTTTTAACAAGTGCAAAATATTAATCACAAATGTTTTCTTTTCCAATTTCAGTTCACAGACCAACTCAAAACCTCAAAATACAGGTAATTGTTTTTTTTTTCCCTTCTGTTTTGTAGGCTGTTGTGATTCTCACTTAATCTGTGATGGCAGCAGGGCATGGAGGGTCGTTTAATCATTAGAATCATACAGATCATGACCGACTTAAAAGAAAATTGTAAATACCAAAGTATGAGTTGTTTAAAGTAGAAAAAAATATAATCTGTTACCTGTGCCAATATATGCATTTCATGTATAGGTACTGCATTTCATACATATTTTTAATGAACTGGTATATTACAAAAATTTCACACTAATAGATTTAGGTAAATACGTATCAGTGCTTTGTTTATGTAATGTGATTGGCGAAATATCTTTTTAGAAAAAAAAAAATGTAGGAGCTACACGTGTTTTATTGTAGATGGTTTATATCAAGGAGTCACATTTTAAAAGACCAAGTTGTTCATGCTTTAGCTTATCTTAGAGGTCCATGTCTTTTGAATTAAGAAAATAAAGTGTGCATAGCAAGGTGAAGATTTAAATTTAGCCATATCTCTGCTCATTGAACTGAGGCTACAGAAAGGTGTTCACAAGTTTGGTTGAATACATTTCTGACATGCCACAATATAAAATAATAGTATCATTTTTCAACCAATCTGTATAGCTTATGATTTATAAAAGCAGTCCTTGAGCTTCAGTGAGGTGACTGAGCCCAAGTCTGAGAGGAGTATCTTGGGAGAAGGATATCAATCTGATCACCTAGTTGTAGCTTTTTTGGTGCTCGGAAAGCAAAAAGCAGCAATGTATATGTGTGTGTGTGTATATATATATGTAATATACATATACATATATATATATTTCACCTGAGAACAAAAAAGATACTCTGCAAATACCAGAATTTTCATTGAGTCTTAAGCTAGCCATAGACTGCTCGAATTTCGGCCAAGTCCTGTTGCCAAATTTGAGCAGTGTGTGATCCTGTTGGCGGTCCTTTTGACAAAGTTTGATATTTCAATCAACACTTGTCGATGAAGGGCTGAAAATTCTTGGCTGAACAGTGACTTCTGCCAAATCAGCTACAATCGCTGTTTAGGTACAGTATTCTGACAGCGGCACACCCACCACTGTCAGAATACAATAGCCCAGTAGGTGAGATTCCCTCTGTTCACCCTGTTTAGTACCTAAACAGCCTACATTCAGGATCACAGCATTTGGGGCAGCTGATACCGGCCTTGTTCACCTAGCGATCCACTTGCAGTGACCTGCATTCCTGGGCGGTGCAGGTTGGCCCCTTCCTATCCAGCATGAAAATGTTCTCTTCGTTTCCGCTAAGTCAGGTTTTAGTTCCTGAGCCTTGAGATTTCTTCCACCCTCATGAGCTGGAGGTTGGGGGTATTTAAACATTTGTGGAAAATCAAGGGATCCTTTTAAGGTCTACCGCACCACTTCTTCTGTAAGAGGTGGATGGACACCTGATGTTTTTTTGGGAGTTTGGGACGCTCTCGATGCCTATGCATGGGTGTGGAGGGTACTGACAAAAGGTTACAAAACAGTTTCCCCTTCGTCCTCCACCGGAATTCTTCAATTGTGCTTTGTCTCAGAGGTATTCCAGTCCTCGGATACTTGGATGATTTGTTGCTGCGAGATCAGACCTCCCTGGTCTTGAACTACAAAAGTCAATCGCTCTGCTGACGTTGGAGGACTTAAGATAGATTCTGTTGATCTATGAAGTAATCTCTGATTCTTTCACAATGCTTGCAGTACCTGGGCCTGCTGCTGGATACCTTCAAGCAAATCTACCCCAGTAGATGTTGGCGAAGCTGCCAAGTCATCAGCGCTTTAATTCCATTCTAGAACCTTGCATTTGAACATTCTCATGGTGTTGGATGATTCCTGCCTGTCTATGGACCGAGTGATTCACTTACATCCTGAATTCATTTTCTGTCCACTGCATTGTCAGGGGTCAAGTTTTTCTGCCATTACTATGGAAGATTGTCATAACAGATGCCAGCCTTTCTGGGTTGGAGTGGGGTTCTGGGCCTTCTGTTTGTTCAGGGTTGTTGGTCTCAGGAAGAATCAACACATCGAATTAATATCCTAGAGTTATAAACACTTCTCTTCTTATTATTTGATTGGGCCTCCTTTCTGAGAGGTCATCCGGTCTGAATTCCTGACATTAATCATCGGAACAGCTGTGCCATACATTAATCATCGGGGCTACCAGTAGTACGGTGGCCATGATGAAGGTACAATCTATCCAGTCCTGGGTGGAATTTCATGTTCCATCGATTTTCTGCAGTACACATCCCCCAGGAAGTGAAACTGGCGGACAGGTTTTCTCAGCAGACAACGTCTGGACCTGGGAGAATAGTCTATCTCCATTTGGAGGTTTTCTGGGACATATGTCTGCATTGGGGAATGCTGCTGGATATGGACTTGTGTCTTAGTTTAACAAAGGGCGGGATAGGTATGTTTCAGAATGTGAGACCTGGCTGTGTAAGCAGTAAATGCCCTGGTAGCATTGTGGGAAAAGTATACAACCTCGGCACTCGAGCTGTTGTGCAACTATAAGTCCCATGAGGCATTGCAGGACTCTGAATGCCACAGGCATGACTCGCAGAGGCATGATGGGACTTTTAGTTTCGGCACAGCTGGAGTACCAAGGTTGCCTTCCCCCTGCTCTGTACCATCAGAGAAGGTGGTATGCCAACCTTGTTTGTCTCTGTAGCGTATGTGACCAGACCTGTTATCTGCTTTGGTGGCCTGGCTGTTGAAACCCCGGTTCTGAGAGACTGGGCATTTCAAATTCTGCTAAAAGCTTGTAAATCTTCCAGGAAGATTTATTGTGGAACGTGGAAAACTTATTTTCACTGGTGTGAGTCACTAGGGGTTTCTTCACATGCTTTTTTTGGTGGGCCGTATTCTTTTTTTTTTTTCTCCTGCAATTGTGGGTAGAACAACATTTGGCCCTTGGCACCATCAAAGATCAGGTGTCTGCACTGTATGTATAATAGTACAAATCAGCTAAGAATTAGCAAGTGGATGTTGAAAAAGAACAAAGTGCTACACATGATTCGTGTGATTAAAATGTAGTATTGTTGTTGTTACAAAGACAGCCTGGCTGCTACACTGGTCCTTGCAGCTTATTCTTCTCTGGGCCCTGCTGACATCATCATGTCTAATGCAGCTCCATTCCCTGCATTAGATGTGAAGACTCGGAGGAGCATACCACACCTGGAGTACAGGGGGGAGAGGTTGTCACTCACTGCCGCAGGACCGAGGATCTGGTGTATAGCTTCTGAATGCCGGCCCCTGGACCAAAACAAGTAAGGACCAATTTTTAAAATAACTGGTGTTTCTCTTTAATGAAGGTATTGTATTGTGTTTCCTGTGTTTAGAACTGGTTCACCCCAAGGAGATTTCTCTCCATTGCCTGGATGTGGTGAAGACCATCTGGGTTTATCTTTCTGAGTCTGCTTCTTTTAGGCAGACTGATTCCCTTTTTGTCTTTACAAAAGGTCCTAAAGAGGGTCTTTGGCTTCTTGATCTACTAGCTTAGTGGATTTGAAATTGTGCTTGCACATAAGTTATCATGTAACATCTCCTTTTCCCGTTAAAGGCCATTCAGCTAGGACAGTGAGTCTTGGCTATTCGTTACCAGGCCACAGATCTGTACCCATGTACGTACAAGAAAAAGGGAGAGCGGTTGCGTTCCTGGCTGCTCTTCATCTCCTGCATGTCAGCAAGTAATCATCACTTGAGAGTAATCATCAGCAGGCAGAACGTGATGGGATCCCGCTGCAGGTACCCTCTGTTGGGTATAGAGTATATATGGAGGCCTTAGTGGGACCTGATCACCTGTAAATAGGTCCTCCTTCTGTGGCTGATCCATAGCCTCTTGTGGAAGTTCCTCCAGGTCCAAGTGAACTTTATTAGCACTGTGCTAATGGGCGTTTTTCTTGGCTGGGGTAGCAGAGGAGAGACGCCGGCCGCTCACAGCGCTCTCCTCCCCCACACCGCTCGCCTTTCTGTGACAGTTTCTCTCCTCCCTGCTGGGACACAGAACAGTGCCCAGCGGGGAGGAGAGAAACCAGGGATGCACCGCTATTTCAGCCGAAAGGTGGCACTTTCTGCATTTTGCCAAAAGTGCAATTTTCAACCGAAGTTTCGGTCCATCTCTATTTTAAACCTCGTTATAAGAGTCCATTTCAAGCTGATCATCAACAAACACTTTTTGTTAACACACATGCTTACATTTCTGTTGTTCAGCCAATAAGCACAGTTTTGCTAGTTTATTTATATATAATGTATCTAAATGTATCTATCAATTATCCTCACCTAAAGGTACTTTTAATCTTGAAAATGCCACAACAAAATGCAACGCTTCTCATAATGCAATTCTCAAACAATTCTCAAAATATGTTTTCTATGGAAAAGTCAAACTGTAGCCAGAAAACAATGAGAGTAGACACTAGGTAGGGGAACTAGGTAGGCTTGTTACTTTGAGGAAGCGGAAAGGTGTTTTTCTGCTTTCAGCCAGCTGTATCTTCTTTTTAAAAGATTAACTCAGTAACTCCACAGTCTGACAGGCATTCTTAGTGTGGAGGCCACCAATGATCAGTATGACCGCGCTAGTGGAGAGGGTTTTCATATGTGAAATAGGAAAACGTAATAGCCCCTTTTTAAATTGTTTCTCTTTTGATTTCACTTGGAAGACTTCACAAGGTGCAGTTAAGTTTTGACAAAGACGACAGAAATGTTGATGTTTTACAGTTCAGTGTGTATACCCATTGAAACAACCTGTAAGCGGTCTATTAGCTCAGTGTGATGGAAGTATACATAGACGTGCCAGCATCCGCAGGCTTTAAAAGGAATTGTAAATGTGTCTAGCTGCACCTGTGCTGGGACCATGTTGACTGTTGAGTCGATGTGCTGTTGAAAGGAGTGTTACTTCAAATTTTAGCAGCTAGACTCTCTAGGGTGTTCACTGACTCTGCCACCTTTTCTGATAGCAGTAATCATTTTTAAATGTTATCGGTAAAATTACTGCCAGGATAGTTGCTGGAACAACCTGAGAAAATTGTTGACAGCTGTTGAACACATGTAAATGTTTTGATTTCTAAACTGCAGCGCTTACTTTAACTGTTGCAGATGTGAAGAAAGGGTTGTCTTCCTCAGAGTCCACATAAAACTACTATAATTCAGCATAGGGTGTTTGTAGGTGTATTACAGCAAATGCCATCTGCTTACATTCATTCAGGGATTTAATGGTGAGCTATCTCCACTCAAGTTCCTCCTTTGGCACATTACTTTCACTTGAACACAGAAGTTGTACTGCCCCTGCAGAAATTCTCTTTTCACTCCTAAAATTCTTTTAAGAAAAGACTAATTGTTTTACTGATCAGATACAAATAAGAAGCTGGCATAAAATACATAAATTCAGCTTCTTTCTGTTTATATCTGGCATTTGAATACCTTTCACTGCCCGCATTGCTTTTGGTTTTGGTGTCACTTCTAACAAAATGTGCATTGTTTTATTTAAAAGCAGTGACGAAATAAAAACTAATCCTATTTTTTTTCCAGAATTAAGTTTGCATGATTAGCAAGCCCCCAAATTTTTACTCCAAAATGTATTCATCGTAGGGCTAGTTCACACCAAGCGCATTCCAGGAGCAGAGTAGAGCAGTTACAGACCGGATCAAAACTGCGTCCAATGGTATTTTGGGCTCTAGTTCACACCGCAGCGTTCAGTTCCAGAGTATGTAAAAAAACTGCAGCAAGCCCTATTTTACCTGTTCTGGGACGCATGCAAACACATCAAAAACGCATGCAAACGCCCTGGAGCGCACTGAAAGCGCATTTTAAACTAACCAAAAACCACCCGGAACGCATCAAAAACGCAGCAAAAAGCGCAGTATAACACACTGCACTGCGTGTGCAGAAACTCATGCAGATCTGGTCTGCATTTGGTGTGAACAAGCCCTTAGTGTTCTGAGTATTTGTTTTTTGTGCATAAAATAGCAACTTAAAAATGAAGTTCTATCTTTGCATTTAGATGTTTTTATTATTTTGTTTTTATTATTGTCCAGGATTTATACACCGATTTAGCCATAACATTATGACCACTGAGAAGTGAAGTGAATAACATTATCTTGTTACAATGGAACCTTGAAGTGGGTGGGATATATTAAACAGCAAGTGAACATTTTGTCCCTGAAATGAATGTGTAGGAAGCAGAAAAAATGGGCAAGTGTAGGATTTGAGCAACTTAAACAAGGGCCAAATTGTGATGGCTAGATAACTGGTTAGATTAATTCCAAAACTGCAGCTCTTGTGGAATGTTCCCAGTAAGCATTGGTCAGGACCTACCAAAAGTGGTCTAAAGAGAGAAAACCGTCGAACAGGCTACTGGGTCATGGGCAGTCAAGGATCACTGATGCCTGTGGGGAGCAAAGGAGGCCCTACCTTGCAACTTAAAGGATTTAATGGATCTGCTACTGATTGCTTGGATCTAGATACCAAAGTATACCCTCAGAGGTGTTGTGGAGTCCATTGCTTGATGGGTCAGGGCTGTTTTGGCAAAAGGGGGACCTACACAATATTAGATGGCAGGCCATAATGTTATGGCTGATTGGTGTATAGCACCAACAGTTTGCAAAGCGCTTTACAACATATGGGGAGATTGTACAATTCTAATACAATCCCTTACAAAATCATTAGAAGGATCCTGCTTGTGAGAGCTTACAATCTACAAGGAGGGGCGAGTGATACAGAAGGTAATAACTGTGAGGGATGAGCTGATTTGAAGAAGTAGATGTTCAGTTTTTAAGAAGAGGTGAAATAGTGTTTGCTGAAATGTGTTTTCAGGGATCACCTAAGGGCAGACAGAGTAGGAGATAGCTGGATTGTTGTGGTAGGGAGTTTACCCTTTTTCATGTTACTGTGGTCCACTGATGGAACAAGTCAGTCTGAATAAATTATTTGTGTAACTGCAAAGGGCTTGAAACATATTTTCATTATTTGTCTGTACTAAAAAATACAAATAATTTTAGATAAATATCAAGCATTGCAGAATGTAATGTAGCCTTCTTTCCGGCCAGCAGGTGGAACTCTAGTTTCCTTTACATATATAGCATTGTATTGTGCACAGCTTGTTTACAGAACCTAAATGGCATTTAAAACCAGACATTTAACTGGTGAATTCTACCAGAAACACACTTCCTGTCTAAAGATGCCTAAATTCACTTACCCTTCTGTATCAGGACAACAGAAACAAGATAACGTTGGAGTCCCCCTCTGCTATGCTTCATAACAGAGGAGTGTGGTTCTGTAGTTATTTCAGACATCTGAGAACAATGTGACGAAGAGTCAGCGCAGGCAAAGAACAGATTTTTAGCAAGATCTACAGTATTTCTTTAAACCTATCAAACAGATGTAACAAAACACTTCCAATTGTAAATTTAACAGACCAAGGGGAGCAAATAAGAGAAGTCTATTTTATATACGGTATTGTATTTAGTGTGTGTACTATTTTGCCAAAAGTATTGGGACACTTATCCAAATCATTAGATTCCGGTGTTCCAATCCCCTTCATGGCCACAGGTGTATAAAATCAAGCACCTAGGCATGCAGACGCTTCTACAAACATTTGTGAAAGAATGGGTCGCTCTCAGGAGCTCATTGAATTCCAGCGTGGTACCGTGATAGGTTGTCACCTGTGTAATAAGTCCATCCGTGAAATTTCCTTGCTACTAAATATTCCACGGTCAACTGTTAGTGGTATTATAACACAGTGGAAGCAACTGGGGACAACAGCAACTCAGCCACGAAGTGGTAGGCCACGTAAAATGACAGAGCGGGGCCAGTGTCTGCTAAATCGCACAGTGCGCAGAAGTCCCCAACTGTCTGCACAGTCAATAACTACAGACCTTCAAACTTCACGTCGGCTTCAGATTGGCACAACAGTACATAGAGAGCTTCATGGAATGGGATTCCATGGCCGGGCAGCTGCATCCAAGCTTTACATCACCAAGTGCAATGCAAAGTGTCGGATGCAGTGGTGGAGAGCACGTCGCCACTGGACACGAGAGAAGTGGAGACGTGTTTTTTGGAGTGATGAATCACGCTTCTCTGTCTGGCTATCCGATGGACGTGTTTGGGTTTGGCGGTTGCCTGGAGAACGGTACTTGCCTGGCTGCATTGTGCCAAGTGCAAAGTTTGGTGGAGCGGGGATTATGATGTGGGGTTGTTTTCCAGGGGTCGAGCTTGGCCCCTTAGTTCCAGTGAACGGAACTCTTAAGGCATAAGCATACCAAGACATTTCAGACAATTTCATGCTCCCAACTTTGTGGGAAAAGTTTGGGGATGGCCCCTTCCTGTTCCAACATGACTGTGCACAAAGCAAGGTCCATGAAGACATGGATGAGCGAGTTTGGATTGGAGGAACTTGACTGTCCCGCACAGAGTCGTCAACCCGATGGAGCACCTTTGGGATAAATTAGAATGGAGACTGCAAGCCAGGCCTTCTCGTCCAACATCAATACCTGACCTCACAAATGCGCTTCTGGAAGAATGGTCAAACATTCCCATAGACACACTCTAAACCTTGTGGACAGCCTTCCCAGAAGAGTTGAAGCTATTATAGCGGCAAAGGGTGGGCCAACTCAATATTGAACCCTGCGGACTAAGACTGGGATGCCATTAAACTTCATGTGCATGTTAGGCAGGCGTCCAGATACTGTTGGCAATATAGTCTATTTTTTACTTGTCTCAGCATTTTCCTGCTGTGTTCGTTTGATAATTTGTAAAAGTTAATTTTGCATTCAAATCTTTCCAACAATTTAAAAAAATTATTACCTGACAAACAGATTGTACTTTACTTTAAAATGTGATCATGAAAAAAGAATGCAATGTGAAAATGATTTGCTTTATTAATACAAACTATTTGGATAGTTGGTTCCACAATTAATTAAACTAGCGATGCACCAATACTGTTTTTTCGGTTACGAGTACCGATGTATTTATTTATTTATTTTCGGTACTTGCCGAAACCGATACTTGATATCTAGCCGCCCGGCTTTCTGATTGGCCAGGAAGCCGGCTCCATACTCCCTCATTGAAGTAAACGCTGCATCCTATTATCACTTTGTTAGTCTTTGGGTGGAGGATTCTATATCCATTACTTTGTTCACTATAGCCCATCAGAATACCTTGAATGGCTGTGTTCTCTACTTTGGATCATTTCTCATTGGGAATATATGCGTAAGCTTTACATCCAAACACTCTGATGGGCCCTAGGCTAGGCTTCAATCCATGCCACATTTCAATGGGGTGCTTTCAACGTCTTTTGATGGCAGTTTGTTCTGTAGGTCTGTTATGGTCATGACTGCTTCTCCCCAGTACTTAGGTTGGTGCCTGACAGCATGCATCTGGCCATTTCTATAAGAGTGCGATTTTTCTGTTCTGCTACATAATTTGGTTCAGGAGTGTATGGTGTGGTTGTCTGGTGTACTATACCTTGTTTCTTTAGGTATGATTCCACTTCCTTTCTGATTAGCCGGTAAGCGTGCTCCGTGCTTCCTCTTCACCAGGTGACGAAGAATGGAGCTCGCTTTCTGGCCAATCAGGAAGCTTGGGGGCAGGTAAAGACTCGCCGCCGGCTTCCTGATTTGGCTGGCTTCCTGACCTAGGAAGCCAGCTCCCTGGTAATGAGAGAGTATGGAGCCGGCTTCCTGG